ATGTATATATGTATGTATGTATATATATATCCATATATATATACATACACACACACATATATATATATTTTTTTTTATTTTTTATTTTTTTTTATCATAAATATGCTATGAAAAGTGTTTAGTTCCTCTTTGTTTTTCATTGTGTAAGTGGTGCTATGATACACTTTTGGAGAAAAAAAAAGTTTACTAGAAGAAAATGTGAATGTTTATGTTTGCAGTGTGTCAAAAACGACATTTGTGGAGTTCATGGTAAAGTGCTGAGAATGCTAGACTTTTGCTGTAAATCTAAGACGACAATATAATTTTTTAGTTTTGCTATTTTGGTATTTGCTATTATTTGGTACATACATTTTAAACTTTTATTCTTTGACAGCATTTTGGTACAAGATGAAATTCTCCAGTTGGTCTATATTCATTAAGATGTTATCAGCTCTGGCTTTATGTTGAAGCGTCTTTATGTTTCCTGTGGTGTTTAATATGAAATCATTCAGTGATATCTGATCCTAAACACACTAAACATCTGCCACAACACCTCATCTGGTTTACTGTATTTTCATTTTGATGTGTGAACTCCCCAGAGTGATTTATTTTTAAATCTCTCTCATATGAAACGGAGAGATGAGATGTAGGCGTGGGTGTGGTTACATCCCACATGAAGAACGCACCCAAAGAGGAAGAGCGCTGGTGATGTGGTTATGACTCATTTCTTCACAATTTCTAGTAAATGAACTAACTCTGTTTCTCTCCTCCTGTCTGTTGGTCCCTTTGTCTCTGTGAAAACCACCATCCTGGTCTCTGACCTCCAGACGTCTGGACCATGTGAAGATAAGCTCAGAGGATCTGATCTGTGCAGCAGGAAGGATGGTGGTCTTTGGGTTCGTCCTTTGGTCGGTTCTCCCTGTCGTGGCTCTTTCTTCTGGTCCGGATCACTGTGGCTTTCAGGAAAGCAGCAGCTCACACAACAGTGAGTATGAAACTGAATGAATGCATTTGATCAATTTATTTTAAACGTTGAGGTCATTTACAATAAATATTAAAGTTCTGCTCCTTTTTATTCCTTTATTGTATTTTAAACATAAACGTCAAATCTTTAATTCGAAGACATTAAACAGTCAGAAGCAGAAGAGGTATTTTTGCATGTCTCACAAACTTGTGATCAGGTTTCACATCCATTTTGTTCCAAAGGGGCTTTTAAATCTGGTGTTTGTTCATGAACAAAATCAAATAGATTTTTTTTTTTTTTTCTGGAAATTCTTATATGCTAACAATATCATGCAAACCTTAAACTGGTTTTTCTAGTAGCTTGTTTTATGGAATAAATTTACATTTTACACACATTGTTTAATTTTGCAGTGCATCAGGAAAAATGTCACGTTTGAAAACAGTTATTATGACGTTATCACATTATTGTAATGCAAAGATTTTATCTAAACTTTAAAATAAATTCGTAAAAAGAATACTGTATGGCATATGACTGGTAAACTTCATCCATCCATCCATTATCTTTTACCCGCTTCTTCCATTTTGGGTGATGGGGGTCGCCTGTGCCCATGTCCAGCCATCACCTCCATTCTCACTTCGTTTGTTTTAGAGCTCACGTTACTGTCAGAGCGTGTTGTGGGAGAAGGTGGTTGCTGCGGAAGTGTGCGCAGCCTGTTAGAGTGTCTCTTGGTGTGACTCACGGTTTCTGCTGCTTTAGTTCTTGGAGTCAAACAATATCAACATCAACATTTGTATGTCCAAGATTTTAGCAAGGGTGTTCTTCTGTCTAACTTTGTTTTTCTTCAAAATCTCACAGTGTTCACATCTTTAAAGTGTCAGTTTCATGTGTGTGTCATAAATATATACAGATTTTAATATTACAGTGGACTTTATTAACATAAACAAGGTTTTGTCAATATGGTTGTGCTAAATTTCCTTATATTGGGAACCATATTATGACGTAACCATAATAAATATAATTCAATATACGGTGAAATGTACAAATTGCTGGTTTTGCCTTGATTCTGTCAATATTGTTTTTTCTAGTTTTCAAGTACTTTAAGGTACACAAAAGTCCATAAATTGTTATTTTCAAATATAACAACCTCCATCAAGTATGTTTGCCATTGCATTCCCTCTTACCTTGAAACATAATTGGATCTGTGATAACTGAATTTTACTGTTTGGAGTTGGTGGAAATCTGGATTGTCGACAAATTTGGAAACATCAGCAGCTGTTTAAGCTGCATGGAATGTGGAGAATGTGCTGAGCTTGGCAGCACTCGGACTATGTGTGCACTATATGTGGTGCTGTATTTTTTTTTTTTTTTCATTTAGCCTTTATTTATCCAGGTAGTCTCATTGAGCCACGAGAACTCATTTGCAAGAGAGACCTGTTTAGGGAGCACATGGTGGGGGTTAAGGGCCTTGCTCATGGGCCCAGAGTGGGGCGAATGAGGGTGGGGGCAAATGTGGGTGTTTCACCTACCCCACCCACAATTTTGATGTTGTCGGGGCCGGGGCGTGAACCGGCGATCTTCGGATCACAAGCCCACCTCTCTAACCTCTGCGCCACCACTCCCACATGTGGTGCTGTATCAAGCTGAGCATCTGATCCTTATCAGAACTGTGGAACTTTCTGACCGTGGCCACGAACGGTTGGAAGGAATAAATCTTGTCAAAGTTGTAAGCTCAACTTGGCGTAAGTAATCAAATCCGGCTGTTTGGAGTCGCCATGAGAGAATGTACTAGCGAGACTGTTAAGGCAGACATGGAAACTTACGAGTTCAGCCTGACCCAAAACACTGTTGATATCTGACTCTGAACTTAGTCTTAGAAGGCGGACTATCTTAATTCTTCCTTGTATGTTATGGAAACAAAGACGCTCTATCCCTCTCCCCACCCCCTCCCTTCCCCAAGGTCGTGGACCTGTGACAGAACTCAACCAAGCTGGCTGATAAACAAACACCTCTTATCAGGACTATGGCTGGGGGGGGGGGGGGGGGGGTCTAGACTGTGCTGTGCTATGACCTTCCCTCAAACTCAATGCCTCCACTGGCCTCCCTCACCTCCCCTGGTGCAGCAACCTAGGCGATGCGAAGGCGATGCGAAGGCACCAAGGGCTGCGTCGTTCACCTGGCAGTCGTGCTGGGACCCCCACCACCAACTCACTCCACACGCATATGTATTATGTCTATGTTGCTTTGCTGTGGTAGATGTTTTTGATGCCTCAAGCCGTGTCTTGTCAAGGACACGGTGTGATAAATCTTTTTTTTAATACCTCTCTCCTTATATTTTTCTTCCTTTTCTCTTATCTAAGCAATAAGGGCAGCGCTTCTTAGAAGCTGCAGCCCCTGTACACTTCCATCCATCTTTCAGACAGCTGTACAGATCGTAATTTCGCTGTGCTTAACTGTGCAATGATAATAAAGCTGATTCTTGGTATATTCTAAAAGCTGATGTTAAAAAAAAATGCACTGGTTGTCCTTGGCAAAGTACAAAATTCCTTAAAGTCTAACACCCACCATATTTTCATATCCAGCAAAATATTATTGAGAAAAAAAAACAATGTTTTGTGACAAACATTGAAAAGTAACTGGTATACATTTTTTAGTTTTTATGATGATTTCACGCTGTTAAGCTGTGGTTTCAGAAACAACATGTGCTTCACTTCCATATATGGGCGTGTGACGTCATGCCAGGGATCATGTGAGACCTCCAGATTTCTATTGCACAAGGATGGAGGCAGCTGCAAAACTAGCAGTCTCATAGAGAAATCCTCCCCATCCCCCATTCGTTCTCACCGCCACCAAACAAACAAATAAACAAACAACCCCATACCTCCTTTCTGACTGAGGCCCAAAGTTTGTGAAGTGCCAAAAATATCTACAGAAGGAAGACGAAACAGACACGGAAATCTAAGGGAGTTCGGCGACAATAGAGACACAGCGAGAGAGGGAGTGATGAGATTTGTGATATTAAATGAAGTTAGGGTGTAGTGTGTTTAGTGTTAAGTTTTAATAGTTTTATTGTCTTTAAGTCAAAACAATGAGAGAATTTTTTAATGTAAAGCTGCAGCTTTTGTTTGAGGGGGAGGATGGAACCACAGACACAGAAATGGACAGAGCCGCAGAATCAGAACCTTCTCAGACAGAAGAGGTGGAGATGAATTTAAAAAAAAACTGATTCTGAGACAGAGTGAGGGCTTCGACAAGGAGGTGGGAGATTTATGATTTGTTTTAAATGAGTAAAGAGAGGAAGAGCGCACAGAGTGCCACACTCCTGTCTGTGTTCGATCCCTGGCCTGATGTCATCAGCCTTTGGTCATCATGGACTGTGTGCTCCCGTGCTTCCTTGATGGGTTTGTTTGTTTAAGTGTATTTATTTTAAACTTGTGGGGTCCGAATAGTGATTACCCCTTAAGAGCACTTGTACTATAATGGTGGGTGTTGTACCTTAAAATGAGTATTTTTATTAGCCAGACCTTAAAAATGACTTTATTTTACTCAAATTAATCAGAAGTTGAATATCTTAGTTCACATAGTGAATAGTTGAGTATTTCACGCATTGTTAATATTTTGTGGGACAGTTTACTTTCTTTAAAGAAAGTCCAAAAAATAAAATAAAATAAAACAGACAACTACTGCATTATTAGAATATAAATATAACAACATGTAAAATGTTAACAGGAGATAAATATATCTGCATGAAAACATTTTTGCTATCTAACAATATGGTGTAAGAAGATGGAAGGATTAATTATAATGTGAAAAGGGTTTTATTTTGAATAATTACCCCTTGTTGTAATTTAACACAGTTTTGTTGTGTTTTAATTGAGGTGGCTTCCATTAAACACTGAACGTAGTTGATTAATAACCTGAATCTCTTTCTCTGTCCACACAGCGTCTTCTTTGCTGGAATCCTTACAATGCTACAACAACTACAGGTCCCATGTGCACTGCAAGTGGACGCCACAGAGAAACTCAACTCTGCAGGTGTGGGTCAGGACGAATTTGGGCAGGTAAAACAGAAAGGAGGAAGATGAGGCCAAAAGAGGGTATTTGCAAAAGGCAGTGAGGAGGATTGATGTACAAAGTAAATATGGAGACGGTTTTCCTCCTGACAGCTCTGTGTTTGTGTCGTCACAGTGACTTGTGTGTTCCTTTCAACACTGCTCATTCAGAAGAGGATGGATCTGCCCACTGCAGATATGACACTCCTCTGTTTTCTATCGGCATCACTCACACGGTCTGCTTTCTCAGCGATGACACAAAGTCCCTTTGCTCGTCTGCCCAGCACAAGTTTGAGGATCTCGTTCTGAGCTGTGAGTTTAAATATCAGCGAGTTCAGCCGTGTGGAGCTCTTTGGTATAAATTTAACCTGTTTAACGCTCTTGTTCTTGTGAAACAGTGCGAGCTCACCCACCTTGGAATCTGTCATCATCTGAGGACGATGATGGAGGTCGAAGAGTGCAGTGGGCCAGCCCATATCCTCCCTCCTCCTCCCTGAACCAAAACCTGACATATCAGCTCAGCTACAGGATCCAGACTGGTGACGACTGGACTGTAAGCCTCAAACATGCTCCCTCTGATACGTTCATGACATTAATTTCTATTGAAATGGTGAAAGACTCGTTAAAAGACACGCTCAGGCTCAAATGTTTTGCTTTGGTCAGAAAGGACACAACATGCTTCCCCATTTTTTCTCTCTCTGCAGTCTGAGAATGTCACAATCACCAGTGTGAAACTTGAGAGGCAAAAGTTGCTTTCAGGCCACAGATATGAAGCCAGGGTCAGAACTCGGGCCAGTTTGGGTCATTGGAGCAAATGGAGCCCGGTGGTGACGTGGCAGACTAAAGATGGTCCGTCAAAATAAAACTATCCAGATTGAAAATATAACCTTCCTGCCTTCTTTTATCACATTTTAAACTGTCGGTCATATTTCTGCAGCCGTTGATCACATTGTCTTCCCTGCTGTCATCAGATTTTGTCCAGGTTCCTCCTTTACACTGTGTTCTGGACGGAGAAACGTCTGTGATGTGCAGCTGGGAGGTGAGCGCAGAGCTGGCTCACCTTATTACCTACCAGCTGAGCTGCCGGCCCAACCAGACAGCACAGTAGGTTGAGAGTAACGCTGACTAGGCCCGTCACGATAACAAATTTTGCTGGGCGATTAATTGTCTCAGAAGTTATTGCGATAAATAATATTGTTTGAAATTTGACAATAATTAGTAATTATTGTGAAATTTAAGAAGTTATGCTGGTTAATTTTGTGTGTAGTACCTTTTTTGGACAACTGGATGGCAGTAAAAGACTGTTTGAACTGAAGGATGGATAGTGAGGCAGCGAGCAGCGTGTATATTTAAGAAAAATGGGAGGGAGGCCACTTGACGTGACATGGGCTGTCTCTCATTCCTGTTTTTCGGTTCTCAAAATGGCGGACGCTCAGTGTGGTTTGAGCTCCTCAGCATAGCATTTTTCACACAAAGCTTTTAATAAAAAAAATCAGTAAACAAATTCTCAGCATCTTTGTACAGAGAAAAACAACTTTTTAAACGAAGGAACAGGTTTCAACCGTGAGTTTTGGAGCTTTGACAAGATAGGGATTTTTTTTCCCAAGGTCAGCCTGCTAGCTTAGCTTGTAGCTTAGCTTCTCAGCTTAGCTACTTTTAACGATCCAAAAACGTGATTTTGGACGGTTCAAACAGATTTTAAAGAGAAAGGGAGGGGTTGGTGAAGAGAACCGGAATTGAGCGTTTTGTCATCCAGTGTCTTCAGTAGAAAGAGAGAAACAAGAAACGATAAAGCCGATAAATGAAAATGAGGTAGATAATTTCTATTTATCAGGCGATTAATTGATTTATTGTTTATTGCGACAGGCCTAACGCCGACAACGGTTTGGGTTTCACCCTGAAAAATTAATCCCTTCACTGAGTCCACCATCCATCCTTTCAGGTCTGAGAGATGCTGTGTGAACCCCACTGTGAGTTCTGACTCCAGAGGGACAGCAGTGAGATTCAGCTGCTCGCTGACTGTCGCAGACCCCGAACATCTGCAGCTGAGCCTCCATCCAGTGCACAGTGTCAAGACCTTTAAAGTCCACCAACACAGTGAGTCAAAGCTTTATTGCCTGAAGCGAGGGGGGCCTCTGAGGCAAAAATTAATCGAGCTATGTTAAAAACCCACAAGGGAGGGTCATAAAACCACAGGAAGCTGTGGCAGACAAATAGTTGTTAACTTTGGTGCATGCTGTGTGGTTAAATAGCTCCACCTAGTGTGAAAATGGTGACATTGCATAAGAATATAATGACATTCAGGCATCTTCATATTCTGAACTCTAGAAAAAAAGATAGATAGATAAATGGACTACTTAAAATAGCACCTTTTTATCTTATCAAGATACTCAAAGTGCTTTACACTACAATCTGCGCCTCATTTACCCATTCATACAGCACTCTTCTGAATATATACAAATATTAATCCATGCTTTATCACATTCATACACTGATGGGACACACATCGGAGGCAATGAAGGGTTCAGTGCCTTGCCCATGGGACACTTCAGCGTGTGACTGCTGGTGGGATCGAACCCCCAACTCTCCCTTTGGAGGACGACTGCTCTAACCGCTTCGCCACAGCTTCCCATAGACAGACAGACAGACACATGACAAGACGTGATTGGTCGACGAAGCTAGATGAAGGCCATGTCTGCTCTACAAAATAATGTTACATCAACCTGCTATAAAATTTCTGAAATTGAAGTTGTTTTAATATTAGAATAATTCACTTTATTCTTAGCCCTGCTCAAGCTAGCCGTTAGCTCGGCTATCCAGTCGAAATAAACTGATTAAAAACTTTTTGATTTGTCTGCATAATTTAGAACGTAGCCTGAAGTACCAATGAAAATAAAACTCAAATCATGTACCAAAAAAAAAACATTAAAAAAAATTAAATTGTAGGGATGCACAATATTGGATTTTTGGCCGATATCCGACATACCGATCTGATAAAACATATTTGGCTGATTACCAATATCAATACCAATATTTTTTCCCCCTAGACCTACTTACAGAGACTACATATCTTTCTCTGCTGTGGAATTAAAATACTACATTATTCTTCATGGTCTTTGTCAGTTTGGCCTGCTACCAAACGCAGATGCCAAAAAGGGGATGAAAATCATGCAACACTTCAACTTGGATTATGTTTAATATCAAATTTATTCATGACATTTACTCTCTAACACAATGACAACACTCGAATTGTGCAAATTTGTAAGTTTTCACAAATCTAAACTCAACTTGTTCACAAGCGACAAAGTGAAAAATGCATAAGTAGTAGTGCATTAATAGATATACTTGACAGTTTCTAAAATTAAAAATTATCTTAAAACAGAATCCTTTTATATCTGTGAGTTATTTCGAAGGAATGGACGATGTCTGATATTTAATTTTATCGCTAATATCGGCCGATACCAATACCATGCCGATAATATCGTGCATTCCTATTAAATTGCATTGCTGAAAACCAGTTTCTTGTTCCACAGTTCGCCCTGACCCTCCTCAGAAGGTAACGGTGAGGAGGAAAGACGAGGACTGGTTGGTGGTGTGGACGGAACCAGCTACAGAACTCAAACTGTTTTATCAGCTCTGTTATTACAGGAAAGTGGATCAGGCAAGAAAGCATCATTTGTTTCCTGTTAAGCTGGAGAGCACCATCCAGGCTCCTTTATGTTCATCATAAACACTCTGTAGTGTTAAAAATGAAGTTCCTACAAGTCACATTCATACAAAACCAGTTCTTCTGCTTGGAAACAATGTCGGGTTTCTGTGGTTTTCAGAGATCTTCAGTTCTGCTGAACATTTCAGGGAAGTCCAGGTCTGTGACCATCCTGGGTACATCCCTCACCCCTCTCCAGGACTACCAGGTCAAAGTCAGGTCGCTGGTCGTCCTGGGACAAGGCTCCCTCTACGAAGGAATCCCCTCGGAATGGACCGATCCCGAGGACTGGACCTCTAATGAAGGTGTTTACAGTACACTCACAGTGTGGGGACTACTTCCTGCTGTTCGCTGCTTTGTTTTCTCATAAAAGCCCCAAAAAGCATCTAAAAATCCTGCTGACATGAACACATAATGACATCACTTCCTGTTAAAGTCGTTTGTTGTTTTTTTTTGTCTCCTGACAGCGCCCTGGTTGCTCTCCTACCTGATCTATTTCTTCAGCGGTGTTGTATCAACTGCACTATTTCTGGTTCTGTACAACACCATCCCAGCTTGTCAGAGGCACTGTTTCATTATAGCCACAGCATTTGCAAATTAAATCAATACCTTTCATTGAAATATTTTTAAATAAAATATCTGTATGTATTTTAGGAAAGTGACAAAGTGGGAGAATTCTGTTCCGTCTCCGGGTAAAAGCAAGCTGCTGTCTAAGATCAAGGTGAGACCCGCTGCGCTGCTTCTGACTCTACTTCAGCTGAACGGGCATCATGGTTACATCCTGTGGTGTTTTCCAGTCGGCCCCCTCTCTGACCCCCATGGAGTGCGAGAAGACCACCTTTTGCAAAGTGCAGCACCTCGACAGCATATCAACATGGTAATGTGTTGCAAACCTCACTCACACTCTTCAACATTTTCCTGTCAGAGACAAAACCATTGAGGAGCATCAAGTGTAGAACCAGGAACAGCTTCTACCCTGACTCATAAATCCCTAACCAGAGTAAAGGGGTGGGGGTGGGATCACTGTACAGTAATACCACTTTAATTAGTGATAAGTGACTTATCTGTGCTGCTGATCATCTCATGCTGCTGTATTCATTCATACCCATCTGCTCACCACAGACTTGCTGTTGATACTCCATATTATTTTACATTATTAGTGTTTAGCGTATACCTTAGACCTTGTAGCGTACCGTTTGGCGTTTTATGTCTTAGTGTATATCTTAGATCCTTGTTGTTTCTTTTTATCCTTTATATTTTTGCTATTGTTGGATGTGACTGGGATCTTGAGTACATCATTTTGTTCCACCTCATGTACCACATGTGATGCGTATGACAGTAAACTTGAAGTTGAACTTGAAATCTTCAGGGTTTTTTTTTTTAATTATGTGTCTCAAACAGAAAAAGCACTTGTAACCAAGTGTCCTCAATCCTTGACAAAATAATAATAATAATAATAAGTTAAATAATTATTTACAAGGAGATTTTTGTCTTTTACCGTCTCCTGCAGCTCCTCAGAAGCTTTACTGTGGCCATCCAAACACACTGAAACCAAATGTGCGGATCAGGATGGCGGAGGCTGGAGCCATGAAAACCTGCCCTCTCCGGTGGAGAAGGTCAACAGTTGTGACACGTTGTCAATGAGCTTTAGCGGGCCGTACATTTTCTGTCAGGTCAGTCGCGCACAAACACCTTCAAGGGTCATTTGTCACTTATTTAGGCCCTTAAAAGAAAAGCAAGCACGTTCATCTGTTTCAGCTGTAGAGTGAATATTTTGTACTTGATTGAGCCGCTGCTGTGGAGTCCATTAAAAAACCCATCAACAGCGGTGGAAGATATATTAAAGCTACATGTGTGTATTAGAAATACTCAAAATTTCCAAGTTTTAAGATTAAAATCTTAATAAGTATTTAAAAAAATTCATAAATACGGTTAAAATGTTGCAAAAAAAAATGAATAATGTGTTTCAAGACTAAATAAGGTTGATTGTGTGAAGTAATTAGTGACAAAAGTTGTGAGATTGTTGCAAGAAAATACTTTCAGTCAAGGTCTCACTGCCTAGAAAGGAAGCCACTTATTCGTGCTCTTCTATCAACTTTAATGCAGCTCGAACCGCAGTGTGTACCCCGCAAAGTTCATATCAGAACAACCGGCTCGGTGCCGTGATGTGTGATGTCACTTTCATTGCCATTTTGAGTTACCATGGTGATGTAATAATCAAACAAAGACGCCGTTTTTCCCATTGAAAAACACTGACAGAACTCTTCACAGCCTCTAAACGGCCACCGTGAGGTCACATGACCTAGAATGACGAGGTCGCTGAACAAAACACTGATTAACTTTTGGAGACATGTTAGATCAAGATGGCTGCCACAGCTTCCTCAGAAAACACAAAATTGACTATAATTCAACCATCCTTTGAGGTATTGAGCTGAAATTTGATATGGTTGTAGCTGAGAGTGAGTTGTTACACTCCAAAGGCAAATCAAAAATCCAAGATGGCTGCCTTGTATAAAAGGGAAAAAATATGATAACTCAGCTATTTTAAAATAATGAGCTGAAATTTGGTGTGGTGGTACCTGACAGCAATGCACAACATATTCTGAATTTAAATCTAAAGATTTCACATAGCCATCAAAGCTCATTTCAAACTCAGCCATTTTTAGAACTATTTAGCTGAAATTTGTTATATATGTAGTTGAGAACAATCACTAATAGACTCTGATTGTAAATCAGATATTCAAGATGCTCATCAAAATGGAAAAATACTATGAATCCGCCATTTAAAGATATTAAGCTAAAATATCTGAGAGCAATACATACTGAATACAAATAAAAAAAATCCAAGATGGCCACCAAAGCTAAATTTAAATGGCTTTAACTCAGCTTTTTTTTTTTTTTTTTTTTTTTTTTTTTTTTAGAGTGTGTAATCTAGTGTGGTTTTTATGAGAATGTTATATCTGTCATGTAGGGAATTCAAATAAAAAATCCAAGATGGCCACCATAGCTTAAAAAATACTTTTTTGCCATATTGAGCTGAAATGTGGTGTATTATTAAGAGTGAACCCCAACACACAGTACTGTCAAATCAAACATTTCAAATGGCTGCAAAGTGGCAGTCTCCACCAAAGTTTTGCCAGGAACTTTCTAGTTGTACTTGTAAACAGGGGTGCCACCAAAGGGGGGCAATGGCCACCCATAAAAAATTGGCAAGCAATATATATTTTTTGTTTTTTTGCAATAATGATCAATAATATTACCTGTAAAATAATAAACTGAGGTACGTCAAACATTCCTTAACTCAGATAATATCAAAATGTTCAAACTGCTGTTTTACAACAATAAAATAATAGAAATTGTTTTATAACACCCCAAGATTTTCAGGGGCTCTCACAAAGCCACCCAATTAAATAAAATTCTGGAGACGTTACTGCTTAACAAGTTTGCAAAGATTGCACAAAATTCTCACAAATTGCCAGCGTCATTTGGGTTTAAATGCATCAATAACTCAAACGATAGCGGTCACAGTTTAGTGCAGCAAAGTAAGAGCCTGGCTTAAGCCTGAGGAGAACCCCATTGTGGTCCAGAATTTAACTGAATTGGTTATGTTTTTTTGTTTTTTTACTATTTATTGTGACGGTTCACATGAGGCACTCCCTGCAGCAGCAAAACTCATAGAGATTCCTTCAGTCTTTCACAATAAAAGACTCAAACGTGTACACTGAGGCCTGATCCATCAGCAGTTTGTGTGTTGTTGTGAGTGTCATTTCAGGTTCCTCACCTCTGTCTAACACTTAAAGCCCTCTGACATCTTGCCCACATTTAAATGAGCTCAAATGTGTGCATTTAGAGGAAGTCTCCCCCGTGTTTCTGTATATAAATGATTTGGCAAAAAGCATCAAATTCTCAATGACGAAGTCTTTTGGACCAAAGATGAAACGTCTCAACAAGTTGTTGTTTGTTTGTTTGTTTGTTTGCTTGCTTGTTTTATCTGTCCAGAGGACCTGACTTAACTTTGTTAGATCTGATTCTCTCTGTTTGCAACATACGATTTGCATAAAAATTTAAGGTTGTTTCTCACTGGGCTGCAGCTGTCAGAGACTAATTGCAAATACAGCTTTAGTGGGGATTTCTGAGACGAGTTTAAGAAACCCACTACAACTCAAGCAACAGGCTTGGACACCTCCGTTACTCAAGCATGGAAATTAAAACTCCCACAGAGGTCTGGTGACATTATGAAGACTCCCTCATGAATGTTGTTTACCAGCTATTCACCAGCAGTCGCAGCTCAATGAGATGTTACCTTTATTGTCTCCTGACAGCTGGTGGTAAAAAAACAAATCCTGGTGTTACTTTTCATTATTCAAAACAGACAAATCTCATGATTTTCAAAAATTTCAGCAGAGGGTGCTTCACATCCAGATGCTAACAAGCAGAAATATAAACTATTTTAAAGGAGAAAGTAGAGTGCACTGACTGGTCCAAAAGGATCTATTCTCTGTTTATGCTGTATTAAGTAAAGCGTCTGTGCTTCTTCAGTTGTTAAAAATCTCCAGCTGATTAATTCATGTTTTAGATTATTGTTTATTTGTCACATGCAGGTTAACACAAGGTCAACAATGCAATGAAATGTTCAGGATGAGAAGAACAGTTTCAACACGCTTAAAAAAAAATCAGCAAAATAAACAAGAAATTGTAAAGTATGCAATAAAAGTACAAAATAAAGTAACAAAACGTGAAAAAGAAATATAGTAAACAGCAACATGGTAGAATATAACAGGGCAAGTAGGATGAATTAATATAAATAAATATTTCACAGGTAGTAATATTAGCTTAAATGCACATGATATATATTGCACATAACATAAACTACACAGGTTGTGTGACAGGTTATTGCACAGGTAGTGAGGTTGTATTATGATGGTAAGGTAGTGACATACAAAGTACATGATACAGGCACATAGTGCAGCAGCAATAAACATATTAGTTGTCACAGATGTGGCTTGGTGCAATGTTATTGTCAGTACTTCAGTATTACTGTAAAGAGATCAGTAATCTGACAGCTTGTGGATAATAACTGTCTTTGAGTCTTTTCATACGTGATGACAGACTCCTGTATCGTCTGCCTGAGAGTAGTAGATGGAAGAGTCTTTGTGCTGGGTGGGTGTGGTCCTTAATGATGCTGCGTGCTTTACACAGACATCGACTGTGGTAGATGTCCTGGATGGTGTGGAGACAGCTACCAGTGATGTCCTCTGCTGTTTGCACCACTCCCTAGTGCTTTGGGTCGCACCAGTGCTCTGACTGGTGCAGTTACCATACCATCCTGGGATGCAGCCTGTCAGCAGGCTCTCAATGGTGCACCTATATAAGTTAGTGAGGATGCTGGTGTTCGTACAAAACTTCCTTAATCTTCTTAGGAAGTAGTGTCTTTGTCAGGCTTTCTATACCGTGTCTGTATGTAATGTTCAGGACAGATCCTCAGTAATGTGAACAGGAACTTGAAGCTGCTGTTGGATTAGATTTAGATTGAGCTGTGAGAATAGACGTGTAAAAGTACTGCAAAAGATTGAAGGATTGCTTGTGCCAGCTAAACTGATAAGGCATACAGTATTTGATCCAATAAATAATTAGTGCTGTTTGTTGTTTTGTGAATACGATACAGAGAAGAAGCAGATATCAGCTGCAAATAAAGAATAAACAATAGAGCAGCTTCCTCATTTTGTTTCCCCCAGTTTTCTAACACAATCTGGTTCTCCTCACCTGAGGGCAGGAGGTGGAACAGTCAGAGTTTCTTTATTGTCATTCGCACCTCATGCGGTACATGTGGTGGGGTGAAATTATGTACACAGGGTCCCAGTTACATCCAACAATAAAATGTAAAAGAAAAACAATGATAACATCCAAGGTATTGACTAAGAAAAACATCAACTAAATATACACTAAGCACTAACAGCATAAAAACATTACGTGGAACATCAGCACAAACATGAACTGAGTGTCTGTGTGAGCAGATGAGCACACATGAACACATCAACATTGAAACAGATCAGCAGCAACATGAAACAGATCAGCAGCAACATTGAAACAGATCAGCAGCAAAATTATGTGATTTTTTTCACACAGAACAGAACATCCAGAACAGTCCATCAGCGGGTGTAAACATGGCTTAAAATCAACGTTTTAATATACTAATATTGGATATTTGAAAGCTGTTTAATCTGTTGGCAGTTATTGAGTGCTCGTGTGTCTATTTGACAGGTACCAGCACCTGTGCTTGTGTCAGAGGATGTCCAGTGTGAAGACAAAGACAAAGAAACTCCATCAGAGGTCCATCAGTTGTCGTTTCTGGTGCCGTCTCCTCTTTATGGCAAAGACTACGTGAGCCTGCCCAGCCATGCTGGGTCGATGTCCACGGAGGACTTGACGTCTCGCAGTGACAACACAAGTCAACAAGTGTGTGACAGTGCTGAGCAAGACCAACACTTTACATGTACCACACCGTGGTCCATTGCGTCAGACAACCAGTCCAGCCCCGGCAAGCCCACAGTCAGCAGTCAACCTTCAGATTACACCTCAGAGCAGTTCTCCAGCTGGTCTCAGGTGGGCGCCATTCAGTCCTCAGGGTACTGTCACCTCCCGCCTAGCCTTCAAGGCAGCAGCTAGATAAGCAGCTGCTCATAAAGGCCTCAAAACTGCTAGACACAACATTTGATCTTTTTGTAATAAGCGTTCCACTTTATTTTAAGCTGCTTTTGCTGCTGGAGGCAAAAAAAGAGAATTGTGTGATTTACAATTGTAGGCAAACCTTTACTGTTTAGATTTTTTTAATGTTTTTTTTTACATAATATAATTGAACAAAACTAAAGTGCAATTATGTCTGAAGGATGTTTTGCAAAATATATATATATTTTTTTTCTGGCTTTTCTTTTATTGGCCTTAATCAAAAATGTAAAATGCTGGTGCTCTATCACAGCACAAACATATAAATATACAAGTATATACTTATACTTAATACAAATCCAGAAGGACCTGGAATTTAATGTGCATGTAATGAAACATTTGGAGAAAACTACAAGAACAAGAGGAGAAAATCCACAAAATTTCAACTTGTTTAAGAGCTTTTTCAGTATTTTTCAGCAACAAAAAAAATGTGTTGATCATTTATTGAACCAAATGTGCTCAAATTAATAAAACACAACTGAAGCGTTGTTGTCACTCTCAATACATAAATCTATAGAAACCGATTAGGTGCAAATGATTACTTGTGTGACACATGAAACCTTCTTTCAAATGGAATCAGAATAAAATCAAAGATTTTAAATAAGCCCTGAAGATGTAAAACACAGACATGAAAGAAAATGAAATTATTTGAAAATGTGTACAGTCATTTTAGTTATATATTTTTGCAAAAATATGGTATGTATAAAATTCAGATTATGCTTTTTAAAGATTTTTTTGTGTGTTTAATGATTTTTCCATCCATCCATTATATTCCGCTTGTTCAGAAGTCGGGTCTCAGAGACAGAAACTTGAGCAGGGAGGCCCAGACATCTCTTTCCACAGCCACTTCTTCCAGCTCTTCTGGGAGGATTCCAAGGCACTCCCAGGCCAACCGAGAGACATAGTCTCTCCAGCATGTCCTGGGTCTTACCCGGGGTCTCCTCCCAGTTGGACATGTTCAAAACACCTTCCTAAGGAGGTGCCCAGGGGGCATCCTTACCAGATGCCCAAACCACCTCAACTGGCTCCTCTCGATGTGGAGGAGCAGCAGTTCTACTCTGAGTCACTCCTGGATAACTGAACTTCTCACCCTATCTCTAAAGGAGAGTCCGGCTACCCTGCGGAGGAAACTCATTTCAACCTCCTGTATCCATGATCTCATTCTTTTGGTCAGTACCCAGAGTATGTGACCATAGGTGAGGCTACTAACGTAGACCGACCGGGAAACAGAGAGCTTCGCCTTACAGCTCACCTCTCTCTTCACCACAACAGACCGGTACAGAGTCCGCAATACTGCAAATGTTGCACCAGTCTGTCTGTTAATCTCACACTTCATTCCTCCCTCACTCGTAAACAAAACCTCAAGATATTTTAGCTCTTCCACTTGAGGCAGAACCTCACTCTTGACCTGAAGAGAGCAATCCACCCTTTTCTGGTTGAGAAGTATGGCCTCAGATTTGAAAGTGCTGATTCTCATCCCAGCCACTTCACACTCGACTGCAAACTGCTCTAGTGAGAGCTGAAAATCACGGCACGATGATGCCAACAAGACCACATCAGCAAAGAGCAGAGATGGAATCCTGAGACCACTGAACTGGAAACCCTCCACCCCCTGGCTGCAACGAAAAATTTTGTCCATAAAATTATGATCCGAATCAATGACAACAGGCAGCCCTTGTGGAGTCCAACTCCCATCCTGAAGTGGTCAAACTTACTACTGGCAATGTGAACCTAACTCTTGCACCACTTGTATAGCAACAATGGGCCCCCAATCCCATACTCACAGAGCACCCCCCACAGTGTACCCCAAGGAACACAGTCAAAAGCTTTTTCCAAGTCCACAAAACACATAGACTGGATGGGCAAACTCCCATGACCCCTTCGAGGACCCTAGTGAGGGTAAAGAGCTGGTCCACTGTTCCACGGCCAGGATGAAACCTGCATTGTTCCTCCTGGATCTGAGGTTCGACCAACCATCGGACTTGCTACTCCAATACCCCTGAATAGACCTTAACAGGGAGGCTAAGAAGAGTGATGCCCCTGTAATTGGAGCACACCCTCTGGTCCCTCTTTTTGAAGAGAAGAACCACCATCCCAGTGTACCAATCCAGTGGCAGTGCCCCTAATGTCCACACAATGTTTCAAAGACATGTCAACCAAGACAGCCCCACAACATCCAGAGCCTTAAGGAAATCAGGGCCAATCTCATCCATACCCTACTGCCGTGTAGCTTTTTAACTACTTTGGCGACCTCAGCCATGGTTACAGAGAGAGCAACCCTGAAGTCCCCCAACTCCTCCATGGCCGATGGAACTGAAAAGGTTAGAGAATTATTCCTTCTACTGCCCAACGACATCACTGGTTGAAGTAAACTGCAACCCACTTTCACTGAACACAGTGTTGGTAAAGCATTGCTTCCCCCTCCTCAGCCACCTGATGGTATGCGAGAATTCCCTCGTAGCTGACCAAGAGTTTTTATACAAGGCCTCACTGAACTTCTCCCACATCCAAGTTTTTGCCTCAGCAACATCCAAGGCTGCAAACTGCTTGGCCCTCCAGTACTCCTCAGCTGCCTCCAGAGTCCCACCAGTCAACAAGGACCAACAGGACTCCTTCTTCAGCTTGACAGCCTCACTAACCCAGGGTGTTCACCACCTACTTCGAGTATAGCCACTGCAAGAAGAACTGACAACCTTGCGGCCACAGCTCAAGGCAGACACTTCAACAATTGAGTCACAGAACACGGCCCACTCAGACTCAAAGTTCCCCACCCCAGCTGGGATGTGGTTAAAGTTCTCCCAGAGGCATGAGTTGAAGATCTTTCTGATGGGTTCTTCTGCCAGGTGTTCCCAGCAAACCCTCACAACACTTTTGGGTCTACAGGGTTTGTCTGGCATCTTTTCCCATCAACTGATCCAACTCACTACCAGGTGGTGATCAGTGGACAGCTCAGTTCCTCTCTTCACTCGAGTGTCAAAACAAACGGCCACAAATCAGATGACACGACTACAAAGTCAATCATCCATCTGCAGCCTAGGGCATCCTGGTGCCAAATGCACTTACGCACATCCTTATGTTCGAACATGGTGTTTGTGATGGACAAACTATGACTAGCACAGAAGGCCAATAAAAGAATGCCACTCGAGTTCTGATCAGAGAAGTTGTTCCTCCCATTCACGACCCTCCAGGTCACACTGTCGTTACTCACATGGGCAATGAAGTCCCCCAACAGAATAAAGGAGTCCCCAGCTGGTGCACCTTCCAGCACCCCTGCCAAGGAGGCCAAATACTCTGAACTACCGTTTTGGGCATAGGCACAAACAACAGTCAGAGTCTATCCCCCCACCCAAAGGCACAGAGAAGACCGGGAAAAACTCCAACACATAGGCGCCAAGTCGGGGGGGGCTACAAGTAGACCCACACCAGCTCTGCACCTCTCACCATGGTCAACTCCAGAGTGGAATAAGGTCCAGCCTCTTTCAAGGAGATTGGTTCCAGAGACCATGCTGTGCGTCAAAGTGAGTCCAGCTATATCTAATTAGTACCTCTTAACCTCACACACAAGCTCAGGCTCCTTCCATGCCAGACAAGTCACATTCCATGTCCCAAGAGCCAGCTTTGGTAAGACAGGGTCAGAGCACCAAGGGCAGTCCATTGGCCCTTGGTCAGGTGCATGGCCAAGGTCCATGACCATGGCCACTGCCCATGATGCCATAGGCAGTGGCCGATGGCATCATGCACCTGACTTTTGTGGCTCCTCCTGCAGGTGGTGGTCCCACAGGTAGGCAAAACCATGTTGCTCATTCGGGCTGAGACCGACCGGGCCCCCTGGGTATAGACACGGTCATCAGGTGCTCGCCGACGAACCCCTCCCCCAGGCCTGGCTCCAGGGTGGGACCCCGGTAACCCACATTCGGGTAAGGGACACAGAGTTCCTTGATATATATTGTCCATCAAAAGTATTTGGAATCACTCTTTGTCTGGCCTGTCACTTAGGACCAATCTGCCTTGGGAGACCCTACCAGGGACAATTATAATTGCCCCCGACAGCATAGCTCCTAGAATCATTCAGGCGCATAAACTCCTCCACCACAATAAGTTTTTGTGTTTATAAATCAGAGACAATTATTTTTTTCATCTTAACTTGAAAGTAATCATTTTCAGTAAAGGCTTTAATAATATTATCATAAGTGGCTGTGTGCACTTGTTATTTTATCAAAGTCTGTCTGACCTTTATGAAACTAGGAGCCTTTGAGCCTCCTGCTACCCTTGGGTCAAAGTGACACACAAATCCACAGTTTTAAAAATTTTAATTTTGGCCTAAGAGCAGCAGGTGGACTTAGAGATGGAAACAGATTTAACAGATAATTTACAGGCCAAACCTAAATTTATTTCTTAAACCCTGTAACACATTTTATACAAATTCATAAGTTGCAACCATGAAGTTTTTAAAAAATACTACATTGTGACTAAAATTATATGTAACTTACGTGTATACAACTGTTTTATTATTCTCACAGTAGAAGATCAACTGAAAAGTTTAACTTGCCACACCTTTTATAAAGAAATGTTAAAACTTATTTTAGCCTCAGCTCCCTGCCAAAGCTCTATTCAAACATTTTGTATTTCTATCCTTATCAGATATAACCATAAAGCTTTATTTATACTCCACAAGGCATCAAAATATTTGGTCTCATTGACGTGACGAAAACTCCTTTTGTTCTTGCACCGCCTCCAAGAACTCTGTGTAAGTTCTGTGCACAAGCTTCAGAACATTTTTTTCTTACAGGGGTGTGTGCCAAGTTTTGTGTGACTGGTCAGAACTTCATGGGGATGTTTAAGTGAAAGAGCAGTTGAACTAAACTACTCTCATTTTGCTTCAACTGCTCTGCTGAGAAATTGTTGGCCGAGGCTGTTAGAAAACACCACCATCTATACAACTG